AAAAAAAAAAAAAACTGCTAGGAGACTTGAAGAAAATGAAATACCTTCATCATAGACTCAATTTTTCCACTTTTTCCAAGAAGGTGCAGAAGCTGATTCATAAGCCCAGTGGATACCACAGGAAATGAAGGCTCCATCAGTTTGATCAGATCAACTGTTGTTTTCCAATCTCTTAACCTTCATTAAATTACTTTATTTTGGTAAAGAGAGAGGAGAAGGAAGATGAAATAAAGGATAGAGAATGATCAACAGATTTTCTTTAACCAACTATGGACATATGAAACTTACATGCTACAAGCTGACACCATTTCAAAGAAAACAGAGTCACTGAAGGGGATTTCTTTCTCTCTCATAAATTCTGCCAGGGTAAGAACCTTGGACGGCTGGCCCCCCTTATTAAAAGCTCTCATTAGAGCTGAACATACTACAGAATCTGGTTGGATATCATTTATTTCCATTTCTTGAAATAGTGCACAAGCTTTTCCCCAATTTTCTGAGAAGAAAAGGACCCTTAAGCTAACTTTAGAAGTTTGTTGCAGCAAGATGCTTTATAGACATATCAAACACGTTTGAATGTTGACACAACATTTCAAGTATTGTTATAGAAATGGTTTTAAGCTCTCTTTTTTTTTTTTTTTAAATATGCATTATGTTTACGGTGTCAGTAGTCTTCAAGACAGTGATAATAGTAGCAGTTTATAGTTTTCAAGTCAGCGATCCTAATAGCAGTTTAATATACAGCTTACCTGAAGCATTGTAGACTTGCAACATAGCTGTATATGTTACAACATCAGGATAACTAGTGACTTTCATCATGTTGAACATCGACTCTGCTTCTTTGACTTGGCCCTAACAAAAGGAAAGGAACAAAAATAAGAAACATATCTCTTGGGCTATGGCTTAACAATGAAAAGGTATATCTTGTCAAACAACTTGCCTTTTTACTGTAGACACAAATCACAGATGAGTACACCTCTTTGGTTAAAGAAACTTTAAAATCCATCATGTCATCAAGAAACTTAAGTGCCTCATCACATTTAGACATCTTATAGCACCCACTTATCAAGATGGTAAAAGTAACAGAGTCAGGCATGACTTTCTTTTTCCTCATAGACTCATATAAAGCTATAGCCTTCTCATACTCACCCACATTCAAATAGCTTCCAATTGCTGAATTATATGCAACTGTGTTTAGTTTGATGCCTCGCATCTCAGCTGCTGAAAGTACAGCACCAATCCTCACCTTTTGACCACAGCGGCCACAACCTGCTAAGAGGGTGCAGATTGATACAATGTTTGGCTCAATTCCATCTTGCTCCATGTGACGCAATACTTCTACAGCTTCAGCTAAAAACCCATTAGATCCATATGCATCAATCAGTGCATTGTAACTGACAAGATTAGGTTTACATTGGTTTCTCTTCATCATGTCAAACACTTGTTTCGCCTTTTGGGGTTGTTGTGATCTCCCATAAGCATTCAGTAAAGAAGTATACGATACAACATCTGGACGAAAACCATTTTGTCTTATCTTATCAAAAACTGCAAGTGCCTTCTTACTCATTCCATATGAAGCATATGCAGCCATTAGTGTGTTATATGACACAATATTGGGTCTAAGACCTTCTGCAAGCATTGAATTGAACACAGCTTCACAGTTTTCAATCTGCCCACTGACAGAATACAAATGAATGATGCCACTGAAGGTCACAATGTCTGGGCAACATTCTGCCTTCTTATCTCGCATGGAATTGAAAATATCTATGGCCTTTTCATATTGTCTAAGCTTGATCAAGCAATGTATGACAATATTGAGGGTGGTTGTGTCAGGACGGATATTTGTCCCCTTCATTAGTTCAAAATAAGCCAAAGCTTTTGAATACTGAGCCCCAGTCTTGTATGCAGATAATACAATGTTGTGAGTCACTAGATCAGGCCCAACACCATTTTCTGTCATCTTCTTGCAAACTTTAAGGGCTTCTCTCCAATTTCCACTAGATCCACAAGCATTGATCAAGTTGTTATAGGTCGATCGACTAGGAGGGATCTGAACAGATTCACAAAGGTTACTGACATATCACAAAACAACAAGAAAAAAAAATACACAATTCTGAAGGAGAGGGGGAAGGGAAAAGAGAAGAAAATACAAGTAATAAACACACTAAGATTGATCATGAAGAAAAATATAGACACACACAGCAGACTGCAGCATGTCTTCCATGATATTCATAGCCCAGCGCCATTGACCAGAACGACCATGGGCATTGATAAGAGCGTTGTATGTCTCAACATCAGGCTTGCACCTAGTGGAAAATCATGGTACAGAATTAAATTTTCTCTAAATAAATATAAAAACACTGTCGATGAACAAGCTTAATTAACTTTCAGAACCATTTAAACATATAAAAATGAACCTAAAGACACTACTATGAAGATCAAATGCTATATCCACCAAGTATTAACCACTCTAATAAACATAACACACACCTCCACTTCTGCATTTCAAAAAATAATCCACGAGCCTGATCAGTCCGATTATGTCTAGCATGTAGCCTGATCATCATATTGTAAATATCATTTCTTGCGCTGTAATTCTTCTGATTTTTCATCCATTCAAAGACTTTAATACAGTGTTCAATAGAACCTCGTTGTGTCAACTCCTACAACCAGAAAAAACACAAAAAAGAGATCTTAAGCAACTTTCTTACAAAAACATCATCCACTAATTTATGTTATTCAAACACTAACAACTCTTCCAGCTAACAACTCTTCCAGCTAAGTTCTAAGGCTTCAAACTCAAGTTGTTATTAGTGCTTAATCATATACCAATCACACTCACAATTCCATACCCACATAGGATTAGGGCTTCACAGTTTGCATACACCATTCATAAAACTGATAAAGCAGGAAATTAAATTTAAAGAAAGAATTTTCAGTAAATTTAATTTCTTTTTAGTTTATCAAGCAGTGATTACCTTGATAAGAATTGGAAAATTCTTTCTAGCGAAACGGCCAACCCACCGATTCAAGACCACATCGACGTTCTCCCGGTGATTGAGCTCGAGAATGCGGTCGACAACATCGGAGACAGTCCAGTCCTTCTGGAACCGGTCACCTTGTACGCGCAACCGGTGCCGTTTGGGAATATCGGCCTTTCTGAGTCCACTGACGCGAGTGGAAACATTGTGCTCCCCCTTGTCGTAGTCCACGAAGCCGGACTTCTCCTCGAGTGCGGTAGCGTTTTGACCTTTCTTGCAAACAATCAGGGACCTGCGGCGTGTGCGAGGAGTCGACTCCGGCCAACGGAAGGCGTGTTTGGGAGGAAATCGATTGGATGCTGCGGCCAGCATTTCCATTCCGGCAGGAGCATGGAGAGTGGTGGATAAACTATTGGGTTCTGGAAAATTGGATAGGAAATTAAAATATCAAAAATCATAATAAAAGTCTTTAATAAGTATCATTAATTAATCAAATAAATAAGAAAAAATTCTTAAAGATATTTTAACAATTTTAAATACAATTCTAACATTTTAAATGGTAAAGAGTCCTAAATTTTATTTTTTTGAACTTTCTCTCCTAGAGTTTTTTAAAGAAAAATATGAGAATAGTTATTTTTAGATGGAACCACATTTAAAAATGCCGATCCATGCTATAAAAAACAAAAAAGACAAAAATAATATTAATGAATTTTTTTATAATTTTTTTACTTGTATTTTTAAATAAAAATTAAAAATACATTTATTATATTTTTTAATATTAATTTACATATTAAATATAAAAATTAATATTAATTTTTTTATTTTTA